AATGAGATAAAGGTCCAGGTGTGAAATACATCAAATCATAAGGTAGAACATATTAGACAAACACAATTTTAATTGTCACTTGTATCTCAATAGAGGTGGAAATTATAAATATATTTTTACATTACTTGTCAGAGAGCTCATTTCACCAAAAGTCTGGTGCTGTCACTTTCCTCTCCACAATGATGCAAGGAAGAGCCTCCTCTCCCTGTTACTCAAAGGCCCATTCAGGAGAGTGGTGATGGCCTTGACCCTGCAGGGAATTAACTCTTAGCTTCATTGGAGTGCAGATCTGTGACCAGGGTCTAGACCTACAGCCAGCAGCAGGGTCCATCTTAAAAGATAAGGAGAATTTATTCCCTGAAGTGAGTGAATGGAAGTGGATATTTTTATTTTATTTTTCTTGGATATTAAAATAATAAGTGCTCAAATAGATGGCAAGTGAATAATAGAGCAGGGTTCCTATTACCACTCTCAGCTCCAACTTAGTCTAGATGGTAGGACATAGACCACAGCAGTGTGATGGCTGGGAGAGCAGAGGAATCTCTGAGGGACTCTGAGGGTAGGGGCTTCCCTCAACCTATTCAGGGAAGTGCCCTCATCTCTGCCTGAGTGGATGAGTGGAAGCTTGTTTGTCTCCGTAGCCTCCTTCCACTGAACTGTGAACATAGGCTGTCTCCTCATTGCCGCACACTCGGGCTCCTAAACTCTGTCTCCCAGGTGACCCCGGCATGAGGACCCTCACCCTCCTGGTTGCCCTTCTCCTGGTGGCCCTCCAGGCCCAGGCTGCGCTCCTGCGAGAGGAGGCCCCAGACCATGAGCAGCCTGGGCTACAGGATGAGGATTTGACCATTTCCATCACATTGAATAAAGACTCCGTCCTTCAAGCTCCAGGTGAGAGACACGTTGACACTCATGGCAGAGCTTCGGGGTGTAGAGCAGGAAGACTGGAGACAGGCCCTGGAATCGGGTCTGCAAGGCTCTATGTCACTGAGGGGACTTTACTAAATGTCAGTAGGCTTTGATTTCCTCCTGTATAATTGAATGGTGAGACTGAAATAAAATTAAGAGAACTTCTTTCTCCAAAACCTTTGATTCCAAGATAGCCTGTAGATTTGGTTAAGGTTTAAGACATGAAGAGAATTACTGACTCTTTCTTTGCACTGTTAAAAAAGGAAACTTAATTACAGAAACAAAATTATACTCTCTGTATAGAGGCACTCTTAGAGACTGCAGAGTGGACAAGGGGTGTGGGGAGATGCATGTGTGATGGGGACAGGGACACGGAAGAGTGAGGACTTCTGACAACGTCATGTGACCCCAGTGAGACCAACACTGTGTGTATGGGTATTTGTTCCCCTTGCCTGAGGCTGCTCATGCACCCAGCTGTCACATAACCAGGGTCACACACCACCCACCTTGTGTCTTCCCTAGAATTCACTGTCAGCATCACTGCTGCCCCCAGGACTGAGTTTCTTATGCTTTCTCTGTTTCCACATGCCTAGTGATGGGGGAGATCTGCTTCTGCAAACTATTCTGTTTTCCTTGGGAACGTCACCGTGGTCGCTGCCTCCGGTTCCTGAAAAAATGCTGCATCTGACCATGGAGAATCAGGAAAAGCAGCTCAGTATTTGCTTGGAGAGCAGAAGAGTATCACTGTCACTCCTCTACCTCATCCCCAGTTGGCTTTCCCCATCCCAAATAAAGTACTAACTGCACGATTTCTGTGTTTGCCTGTCTTTAACGTTTGCTATGCGTCAAGTCAAGACACTTTTTTTTGGTTTGTTTTTTGTTTTTTCCTTCTACTAAGTCATATACACATGGATCATGAATACATCTATGCTTTTATGGGGTACAATGTGTTTTTTTAATACAATTTGGAATAGTTACATCAAACTAATTAACACAGCTTTCACCTTATTTAATTATTGTTAAGACATTTATGTTCTATACTTGGTAGGTTTGACTTGTACCCTTACAATTTGCTCCATAGGTGTGGTCCCACCATTCACCCTCCCTCTATCAAACCTCCTCCCCATCCCCCTCTACTTCTCTCCTTCATCCTAGGCTATATTTGTGATCTATCTTTCATAAGAAAATGTGAGTAATTATAAATCAGTTTCATAAAAGTATTGAGCACATTGGATATTTTTTTCTTCCATTCTTGAGATACTTTACTAAGAAGAATATTTTCCAACTCCATCCATGTAAATATAGAAGAGGTAAAGTCTTCATTTTTTAAATACTGCATAGCATTCCATGGTATACATATACATAACTTATTAATCCATTCATGGGTTGATGGGCACTTGGGCTTGTTCCATGATTTGGCAATTATGAATTGAGTGCAGTGAACAGTCTGGTGCAAATATCTTTGTTGCAAAGTGATTTTTGGTCTTTTGGATATATACCTATCAGAGGAATTGCAGGATCAAATGGCAGGTCTACTATTAGATCCCTGAGTGTTCTCCAAACTTCTTTCCAAAAGGAACGTACTGGCTTGCATTCCCACCAGCAGTGCAGAAGTGTTCCCTTTTCTCCACATCCATGCCAACATCTGTGGTTTTGGGATTTTGTGATGTGGCCTACTCTTACTGGAGTTAGATGATATCTCAAAGTGGTTTTGATTTGCATTTTTCTGATGATTAAAGATGATTAGCATTTTTTCATGTGTCTGTAGACCATGTGCTTGTCTTCTTCAGAGAAGCTTTTGTTCAAATCTCTTGCACACAATGAAATGGGATCACTTGTTCTTTCCTTATTGATAAGTTTGAGTTCTCTGTGGATTCTGGTTATTAAACCTTTGTCAGAAACACAACCTGTCCCGTCCTGCGGGACACGGTTATTCGGGGGGCGAGGGGGACTCAGCCTGTAAAGAGAATGGGCATGAGAAAGAAGAGGAGGCCAGGCAGATTTCTTGTCAAGGCCTCATTTAATGGGTGTAACAGATCAGTTTTTATAGTATTCAGAGAAGACAAGAGGTGGGGGGCAGAGGAATGCAGGAGTTAGAGCTTGCATCAATCTCCTGCTGGGAATGTAAACGATGTGTCTGAAACA